ATTTCGTGAACATACCGCTGACATTTATCCGCGAAGACTCTGGCCTCGGGATTGAGTTTGGCCACGAGATTGATCATGAAATTGAAATTCAACTTTTTCGGGGGTGGGGGGGCGTCCACGGGTCTTTCAATTGCTCAAAACCCAAGCATTTTTTCAAAATCTGAATTGAATAGTTCATCTTACATCGAAATTGRTAGTTCAGTTCTTTATACAATGACCTTTATTCATAGAGAGAGACAGTAAGAGTAGAGTGCCGCGACGACTTGCAAACAAATGTCTTTCGGTTTCTAAAGAAACAGCTTGAATGATAATAAGACTACACACTTTCATATTCTTTTTCTTGACAAAATTATTCATTTTTTCTATGATGATATTCAAAAGAAATCGTCACGATATTCATTCCCACAGACAAATCACTAATGAGATATCACCTGCTCAGAAAACTATGTTTATTGAGTAACCTTCTGACAGTCTACATATAGTTCAATACATTCTCACTACATTGGTTTTCTTAATAATCTTAATGTCTTTGTCAGTCCATTTCAATAGCGGTTTTCAAAGTGAGTATTTTCCGTTTATATAAGTGGTTTGAAAACAATATGAAAACGCAACAGATCACTTAATATTTAGGTCTTAATTGTGATGGCTGAAAACAAGTTACACTCTCATGAGATGCAACTGCTGTGGATCAGTTAAAGAGAAACAAAATTAATTATTGATCTTACTATCAATAACCTTCTATATGATTCTATACCAATACGTTCAAGCCTAAAAATATATTTTGTGGCTACTTATTGACCTCATTGCCTTGGCCCAAAAGCATTTGACAACACTGTATTTGATTTGTTACAATTTTTGTTGCAATCGAATGCTATCAATTGAGAACGTACTTTAGACATTCATAACTACGTTTGTCTTAAATGATGCATTAGATAATGTGTATTTGTCTACAATAGTTCTGATCCATCGAATCTCAAAAGGCAGACCTTAATTTCRCATCTAATAATGGCTTAACTTTCGCACACGAAGAATGATCATAATTATCTGACGGCGTCCAAATCTAATATTGTCTGGAGTTTACTTTCTTTGAGTGTCATTAGATCGCCTTTCAATTTTTTTCCCTTTCGCTTTTGAGCTAAATGTGTCACTTCAGTCATCTTTCACACTCTTTGGGTGTAAGTTGTCGGTTAATGGCGTTTTTTTTCATATTCTTTAATTAATAAGACGTACGAAGCGTGCAACTTATGAAGCACACTACACATTATTTGGCAACGAACGATATGCACAAATGTTTTTGAGATTTTCAAAGAGGTTTCTAGATAAAATTGTTGATAATGAAATGCTACAGCAAAGTCTGTATTATATAGGTGTACAAAGGTGGAAGAGCCACTATCTCAATAAAGTTTCTTAATAAAGTAGCATTAACCATCTTTCTCGTCCTTATTATGCATGTAATAGTACCTCCCATTTCGATCTAAGCTATGTTCAGTGATCAGGCATGGGTCAGTTGGTCGGCTAACTATATAGGTGTACATGATATGTAATTTGAAATGAGAGTAAATGTCCTTTTTTTGTACTTGAAACGCCTTCGTATGCCTTCGATCACCTAGAGCTGCCGGTGTCTTCGTAATTCAGCACTTTGAAGTGCAAGTAAGGGTGATTAGATACTCCAATTTATTATTATTTATTCTATCGTGATAAAAACAACCACCACTGGTACTACTGATGCCAGTGCTATTACAGCATGGTCAGACTAGCAGTAATTTATAGCTCGTTTACTATTGCTGTACTATTCAACTTCTACTACTGCATGTAATCAACTTAACGATCATCACTGGACAACACTTCTGATTATTATCTTCAACTTGATGTCATGAATTGTCCTCTRTCATAAGATAATACGTCTGAATAAAGCCACAATGCGCCTATGAATTATGCAATAATTACAAAATTATTGAGGTTACTTGAGTTGTATTAAGTATAGATTTTTGTATTACTGATGTATTATCGAAATTTCTAGGTTAGCTGATTACAGCTGGATTGTTTGCACTGGAATCATTAATACAGAACATGATTAAATCCCACCATGTACAGCAGTGTTAAATACATCAAATACATCAATACATTCTTTTCTGTCTTCCGAAACGCCTTGATTTCCGATAGTTTTCATAAGAACACTTACCCAGCTACACTGCGAACTAAGCAGACCCTTAGGGCAAGGCATCTTTAATTTTTATAATGCATGGCCTAAGATTTGACATTAGAAATACAACAAATGTTTGTGAATTTCTGTACTGAATGAATACAAACGAAAAAATATACACAACATATGGAAAAGTACCATTATTCATAATTGACATGTCAAAGTAGTTTCTAAAAAAGAATCCCACTTCTTCATTGGTATGGTTTCTATGACATTTCAAACTGAATCGTCGAACCACAATCGAACGTAAAAATCAATGGTCGTAAAAATTGAWAAAATTATGAATTTGTGTACAATATATTGGTAAAATAGTGGACAACCCGCACAGTCTTTGACGCAGATGATGGCTCTACCGAAAAGTAAAACTCTACGCAGACAACGATAAATCATGGTTGACAACTCGCTAACCAAACCTRCGCTCAAAGTTATTCCAGCTGCACATTTCCACTTATAAACTATCAGTGAACGACTCTATTTGTCGTCCTTAGAGTTTTGTACTTTGTCACCAGCATATCTGTTCTTGTCACACTTCTGATGTATATTCGATTGTGTTATCTGCTCTTTTCACACTATCTATTGTACACTAAAAGTGAACTAGTATTTAATATAAAGACTGAGATATTGTCTTTTATTTGCGTGTCTATTTTGTCAGAGGGAATAACTTATCTCGTGTATGCTGTGCTGAGTGGCGCGGTTTTGCTGAGTTTCATCAGCATGAGTTTTCACCCAAGGTAATTTGCACGCAAGATGCGGAGACTAGGGATAATTAAAACTGAAATTAAAAATATGTTGTTGATAGAATTGGCAAACTCTCAAATTAGAAAATACACCCATGGATTTCGTCCTACCTCAATTACAAAATTTGAGTCCAAATTATACAATACTTTCACTAAAAGTCCAAATAAATTAGAAAGTTCGAGAAGTTTTTTTCTTTAAGTCTTTGAAATGATAAATATATTATTACTTACATTTTTGAATTTTCTTTTATGTAAAAACAAGCGAGTGAGCTTTTGTTTGTATTTATTTTAACACCTCTCATTTGACCGATTTTAATTTTTCTTTCCGACCTCGGAAATTATCGTTCGTCTTTAATCTCCTCTTTTTCGATTATTGAAAACCTCAAGGTTAAAATTATTTTTTTTTGAGAGGGAGAGAGACAGAAAAAATAGATATCAGGTTAGGAGAAGAAGATAACATCTAAACTTTGTTTGCTTCGAGAAAATATGGCAGGTGAAATGGCTGAAAATTGTTTCCACTGAATTGTAAACTTCTTACAAAATTTCGAAGATTAATTAAAGTTTCCATTTCATAAATATCACTTTATGATCTTTCCCGAAAAATATTGTGTTTGCACTTAAACACTGAATTGCCGAAACTCCGAATCCTTTCGAACTTCATTTTCCTGTACGTGTCTCATTCGATGATTATTCTGGCTGATTTCATCAGTGGGTTAATTTCAAAAGCAGTAGAATATAAAGCTGTTTAACAGCTGTAGTTGTATTTCATATGTCTTTATGTGGCTAAAATTAAAAATAATAATGAATMAAAAGAAGCAAGAAAGGGGAAATCATTAAGGAATCTTATACAAATTAACATGCTGAAAGTMCTACTGCCGAAAAGTGTATTGCTCTTGAAAATCGTTTTGCAGTCCATCGTTCTTCGCGCGATATTCCTCGTTGCAAACRGTTTCGTTTTTGATCAAGAATAATGGTAAGAAATTTGAAAAATTGTCATAATTTGATCTGATGTCTTACAACATATGTCACCAAATCTGTTGACTCAGCTTTGTCTAAATGTGTCAGGTTTTAAGACGATATTTTGCTTGAAACTCGATTTCTTTTCATCACATTTGTCACAATTTTTTTTTCATTTCTTCGACTATCATTCATATGTATTCTTAACGTCGATAGAACACAAAAAATCCAAATACAATATAGGGGGTCTTGTGTCGACCTCCTGTTTTGAAGAAAAACAAACTTTTGAATTCCTTCTGTTTACATAAATAAAAAACAAAGAAACTTTTAGGTAATTTTTGTTTGTTGTAACYAAGGGAAGTCAGTCATGAATATAGAACGAGTATGAAAACAAGCAGCCGGCATGTAAATGATATGTTCGACTATTTACAACTAAATTCACTGAAGTCTAGCACTTGTCAGAGAACTAGAGAATTCTCAGGGAAAACAATTAGTCCCCTACATGGACAATTTGTATGGATACAGATTAGAAATAAATTTAGAAAAATATTTTGCAAATCAGATGAAGTCATTTCTATAATTAACGACGACACAAAAGCTGTTATTACCCAGCTTTCGAACACTGTCTTAATCCTACTGAAAGATTTGACTCCTTTTCGAGATAATAAACTTCTTTTGTTCTGTTATCTGAAAAAAACTCAGTCGGTGGTATTATATCATGTACTTCTTTGTAAATACACGCTCTCTGTAGAAGCGTGGAATAACGTGTCTCGGCGTCATGGACAGTCTTAACGTAAAGCAAGTCATTGATGGCTATATTTGCATAGCAGCTTCAATTGGTGGCTGTTGTTAGCGATATGTTGTTGTTTTTTTCATAAAAAGCGGTTGGCAAAACGGTAAAAAAGAGAATTTCTATCAAAACGTTACGGAAAAGCTTTTTTCTAACCAATCAATACGAATATGATTGGTTAAACCAGGCAATTTCAAGAGAAATAATTGTATTTGTCTGTATTTGTAGGTTTCGTGCATTTACGAAAAACCCCGCCGTTGTTTTGGATTGACGTCGATCGGCCTATGTAGCTCGTTTCTGATGCATCTGTGTTAGYTTATAAGGTTATTTTTTTATTTGTATGTATCAGCTCAATTGCCCTCTTTTCTAACATTTCCTACTAATTATGAAAGATTATATTCACGAGGTTCATTAGTAGCCTATTCATCGCATTAGAAAAAATATTTCCCTTTCTGTAAGATCTTGTAAAACCTCKTTGAAGCATTGAAAAACCAATTAGCTTCTTTAGATACCGGTTAACGAAGAAAAAATCCTGGACAAAAACTTACGTTTTCCTTGAAATACACCACTAGATCTTGACCATCAAKTAAAAATAGCAATAACGACGATCCAATATAGTTTGGTATTTCATCATGTCTAATGAAACTCTAAGTAATTAAATTTGCTGTAATTCACATTGAGTCAATTCTGTCTTGCTCTTCTTCATTGTCTGAGTTCGCCTCGTGAATAACAATTTTAGGGGGATTTCCGTTTTGGTGGTACATGTTTACTGGAAGTTTACTATTCTCTGTGCGTATGTTTGTATTATGAAAAGTGTAGTCCATGTCTAGGTCCGCCATTGATCGAGTAGTTTGCATGTCAGTCTGTCCATACCGACGATGCATTACACACAGACGGAATAACATGTGTCTAAACGCACGTCGAAAATCAGCGTTAAAACTTGAGTATATTATAGGATTGACAGCACTGTTCAGCAGTGGAAGTACGTAAACGAACACGGTACCTATACCCAACTGCGCATCTGGGGATAAAACTTCTCGATAACAATCAGGACAGAATTGATGGATAAACATGATAATAAAGAATGGCAGCCAGCATAGTATGAATGTACCGACCACTATCGCTAGAGTCTTTGTGGCTTTCAGCTCACGTATGATTGATTTTCTTCGTCGGCGTTCCATTCGACCGATGCTTACAACACTTTGCCTGGCTCCGTTATGATTTGTTACATCAGATGTCTCGTTCTGTTCAAGTGTAGCACATGATAGAATCCTTAGTTTTCTCGCTTGTACAAACGCTACCTTAAACACCAAAGAGTAATTGATGACTAAAATTAACATGGGCAGGAAGAAGCTAACGATAATGGCGAACGTATAATAATATTTGTCGTTTTTCTGGCAGGCTGGTGCGATCTGCATTGATCCGTTAGGATCCCATGGACCGGTAAAAGAAAGTGCAGCAATAATCAATGAATATATCCAAACTAATGCAATGGCAACAAGGGCCCGTTTCCTAGTCATAATGGACGGATAAGTTAAGGGATGGGAAAGAGCCARGAAACGATCGATCGATACCATACTTAAGTTGCATATACTTGCACTACAGCACAGTAAATCTACGAATATCCAAAATTGGCACACGCCGATACCTAAATCCCAACACATCGAATGGAGAGTGTGGTGAATGCGAAATGGCATCGATAAACCAGCAACCAACAAATCGCTAACCGCAAGTGACACGATGAAACAGTTTGTAACAGTCCTCAATCGACGGTACGAGAAAATGGCAGCGCACACCATACAGTTACCACAAACGTCCAACAGAAGAATAAAAATTACAAAGCTTGCTTGAGCAATCATCTGAACCAAATCATATTCTATCATCGTTTGGCAAGATAGTATAACTGTAGTGTTGTTGTAACTCATATTTGATGGTGTTACCCTTGATCTTAACTATAAAGAGAACGTTTATATTCTGTGTTTCTAAGATTCTTCGGCGATTTCTTCTAATAACTATGATCACGCAAAAGATTCCAAGACTCTTCACGCCACGGCAACTCACGCAGAAATGACAGAGATCTCAATTGACGCTGAGCTTTTATTATCGTGTGGACATCTGGCATTGGCCAAGTCGAAATGCGCATATGCCTCGTGCGTTAATTAATTCCCAGGCATCCCGATCTTTATGTGACAACGTGAATGTCCAGGTTATTTTTGGCGGACTGTCACAAGTACATTTGGCATATTTGTCTTGGATAGCTAAATGAAACCGTTTCAAGTCCAAAACGATTTTGAATCTACTTAAATTTTGTTGACCACTGGTTTTGTCTCCCGCGAGGCCTAATGAAGAATACCTTTTTGAAACGTAGAATTTGATACATTTTCCACCGGAGACATTCGACAATTTTACTTTTCTTAGAGAGAATAGCTTTTAGGGTATGAACGCGATAGTGTTTGCCAATGTTTTATCAATCACAGTTGAATTCTACAATGTATGCTTCTGTTTACTTTAGACGTATGAAGAGGTTTTCCTTTTGAGTTTTATTGTAATTTCTTCTCTTCATCGCCKGTTCCCATTTCTAAACATATTTGGYGACTTGAACGTTTTAGATTAGACCGAGAAAAAGCCGAAAAGATTCAAAGATTTATTATGTTACGAGCGCGCTCGATACTTCTCAGGCTGCTAGTCATTTGCACCTGTGTCGAGACACAAACGAGGAAAAACCGCTTGTACTTTATGCCTCTCACGGATTACTTCGCACAGCTGGGTTGCTTTTAGCATATTCTACTTCTTACTCATTAGGCTCGATGGCTTCGAGTTTAACTGATAAGAATCTTCTGGAGGCTGCCTTTATTGTAGATCCAGATCGAAATATATTGCGGTAATGAAAGGGATTCAAAGCAGTTTATTATTAAAAAATCGAGACAAAGAGCAGTCTGAAAATGAATCAGACTTGACAAGGTCTTTTTGTTTAGTTGGAATGATTGATATACTTAGRGAAAATGATGGATTACCGTTGCCACTCTTTGTGGCTCAGCTTCCACACTACATGCATCCTTTCTAACTGCGCCGTCTACGTCCGGACTAAAAATTATGATTRATTTTGGGCTTTGCTTCATCGATTTCAACTCTTTTTCCCATAAAAGATTGCACGCAAATGAGCTACGTTATTAATGTTATTTATTTKGTATATGTAATCCACGTGTGCCAGATTCCTCCTTTCCACTTCRACGGAATAAAGATCTCAATATCTTGTCCTCTTGTTCTAGAATCGCTTATATCTCCCAACCTTAGGTTAAGGCGTAGCTTCAGATACTCAATATACTAATTTATGCATTTGTTTTTATTTTTTTAGGTAATATTTCACGAACAGGTTCTTAGTATTTGAGTTGGACATGTTATGTGTACTTATCGATGAGTTTCAAACCAACAACGTCATATATCAGAGTGTTTGTCAGCTAGTCCATAATATAATCTTGGTTTTGAATAAATGTTTTCCCCTCTCTYGAAGCAATCGAGTTCACTGAAGGCAGTGGAACACTGATATCGATAGATAAACATCTATGGGAGAAGATGGAAGGTTTTTTTTCGTCGAGATTACTTTGCGATTAGTATTGCTTCCTTATCGCTTTCGACCACGTTATTTTGTCTTGTAGGTTTTTACAATGACCTCTTAAAATTCGTGATTCAGACAAATATTTTCAACAATTCTTTCAGTTTTCATGTATTTTCTTTAATTTTTAATAGTGTCAGATATCTCATAATTTTGTCATAAAGCTCTATATGCAGATACTCTGCCAATCAGTTAAAAGTCCTTTCTTTCAAAGGTGTATGTAACCATATTTTTCTTTTTTAATTGAAATATATTACCGAATTTATTACATTTATAAATACACGAATTAAAAATGTATACACAATTAAAACAAAAACTAACTTCAATTATTTTGGAGAAACAAAGAGGACTCCAAGTTGTCTTGTAATTTCATCTGAAAATTTACCAATTCTTTTTTGCTTGGTGTTCTTTGGAACACCTTGCTCAACAAAGAGTATGTTTGAAAAAGCTATTTGCACAGCATTGATGGTTACGATATGATATTTCAGCTATCAATCTTCGACCACCTAGCTAGCACGTCTGCTTGTCTAACAGTTCTCATTGGGTTTAAGGATGTCCATAGCAAACAAAAGTCTTTTAGGACCTCAAATATCTGACTGTAAAAATCATGCACACTATAAGAAGAAACAGGAAGTACTTTTATAAAAAAGGAATTCGYTAACTAAAAGTCTTTTCTGTTTCAWMAGTGATAAAATAATAATATCGATGTGACGCAAGAATATTAACAATCGCGCCAGCTTTGGAAGTGTCACATTAAAAATGGAATAAAAGGTGTGTTTTGAATATTTGTCAACCGAAACTAACCATAGAGAAAAAAAGGCTGTTAGTGGCAAGCCAAACATTCCGAATATAACCAAATGATTTTAATTACATTGGTTCAGGCTATTTTGTTGGTCAAGTGGTCTAAAACCTGAGTGTAAATGATGTRTTATTGTATAGCTGATAAAGTGTTGATTAAAGTAGGACGAGTACCCTGGAAAAGTTCGCTCGTCGTTGAATCGGGGCCTACATTGTACAAAATTGTGCTGTTCTTGTAACATTTTTATCGGACATTTCACTTTGTTATTTTTTCTACAGAATGAGCCGCTCTAGCAAAATTATATGTCCCTACAATTAAAAATTTCTTGTTGTATCTTGAAATAAATCCTTTTTATTTTATAGAGGATTAACTGGCTTTCCTCATAAGGATTTTATAGTGGAGTTCACCTATAAGCTATATCATAACCATTTTACATATCTTTGCCGCTATTCTTGGTTCTCATTTACTGATCCATCTCCATGCCGCCAGCTCTCAGATAACTGATATCAATGACGGACACATTATACGTCGAGTTCATCACCATTCATAAATTATTCTCAAAAACCGCCAAAACCTTTACTCTTGAATGTCTACTGTTTTCGATTCTTTTCGCGAATCACGTTCTTGGAYCACTGATGTTGAAAGGCTTTTCGTCTCTCAAAAATATGACTCGTAATGAAACTTCTGCTACTTTTCGAAGACGTGACAAACGAATTGATTTTTGCCTTGAGGCATTCTGAACAATACAAAGATGATTTAAGACACAAATATTGTACAAATAATATAAAGAGAAATATCATTTTCGTGACGTCAATTTAGTCATGTACTGTACTTGTGACTAGAATCCTACTTGCTTCACCTTAATTCTACATCATAATTGTTTTTTGGCGGGAACTGAGATCGTCGCTGCTCGATTAACATACTATTTATCTTTACACTCGCTTTACAGATAGTGTGTTTTTTTATCATATTGGTTTTTCCTAAAATGAACTTCTTGGATACACATTAGGGACGAGAAAAACCAGGTCACATGACATATTATCGTCACGCAGGGTGCGGAAATGATGATTTTTGGAAGCCTTAGCCGGAGTCCCGATTAATTTTTTTCCTACTTGCATTCTGTAGAAGCCTTGAACACTTTCGTKTTTGGTTTCTCTTGTTTTTATATATGATGTTAAATCTGTTTTTGTCGGCGAGTATTTTTTTTCGGGAGGCATATTCTAGTTCCGTTTTTGAACTGCCAAGGGGAGTAAAGATGATGATGATAATAATAGTAAGGATAATTAAAACAATAACAAAAAACCTTTCCATCTAAAACAGAACATTGTTTAATACTCTCTTAATCTTCCTTTCCTTTTTACTTATCAATAGTTGAATAAATCATGGCAACGATGTTAAAAATGTGACCCTTAGAGTCTCTCTTTAGTCTTTGATTATCTGTAATTATCCCAGAACAAACGTACATTCAATCTGACAGTTTTAATCAATTCAGGGGAAAACGACTATAATCAAGAAAGATAAAACACTGGCGTGCTTCCTGTTTGTGAAGCCTTCCATCTTAAGACACAAAACAAATTTAATCCACATGTACCTTAAGCACACCTTACCAGGAACGATAATGATCGACCCTTTCCTGTCATAAATCATCGTATTTTTCCAGGACTCTAAAAAATAAAGAACTCGCACTTTTTAAGTACCCGAAGGTTTTTATAAGGAAAATACAATTCCATCAATATTGATAAAACCGGAAGGTTCTTAAAAATCTTCTTTGCATCAATTAGCAGTGCTGTTGCTGGTTTGTAACCTGCTATACTGATATTACAAATCTACTGTAATTCAGACAAATAAATCTTGTTTGTGAGTCAAACAGATTTAAATCATTAGAAATGACATCATAAATTGGAATTTGTTAGCAACCCTCAATGAAGCTACAGACTTCAAATATTTCGAGTCTTGAGGGAACCTCAAAACACCTGCAGTATGACTATCTCTCGTAAGGCTGCATGCCAGACCCCTCCTTAGTGTTAGACCTCAAGTACAATGAATGCTATTTTCTTTCACTTTGTGACCTTGTATTAAGTAATATCGCTGAAGAAAAACCCTTTTAATGAGTCGCTACTTTGTTTTATTTTGCATATTTGATCAGCAATCGATTGAATATTAAAAAATAGAGATTGAAACATAGTAAGGAACTTAGCTTTTCAATTCCCTTATCATATACATGAAAAGGAGCAACAAACAGATTAAAAGAGGAAAGCAAAAATTGTGTATTGAATAATATAATGTTCAAAATGAAGATTTTTGTTTCGTAGCGATAAATACCAATGAGCTTTGTGTTAATTACATTCGGTACAATAGAAAGACTAGACTTAGCTGCATTCATGAGCTACGCTGTTACTAAATAATGCTTTAAATGGTAAAAACTAGAATGGAAGAGAGAGACAGAAGTTATGGGACAGAAACACAAGCCATTTGAATCAGAAATGATATCTGATGACATGGAAATGTGGGATTAAAGGCATCTGTCCGTAATAACACAGTAAAGTTGAACGAGAACGGCATCGTGACTTCTAATGTAGTGGGTATATTTAATCCAAGTGCCATTCACGTATAGTGATAGAACGTTAGGGAAGTACAAGTACTAGRTCACCATCACAGACGATTTAAAATTT